ACTCCTGAACGATGTTGCACTCCTAATCGAGCTGCGTCACCTATAGAAAGTACAGCTTTATGAAGTTTCCATGTAATGAAGTAACGCATCATGTTCGTAATGAAACAAATCTCGTATTTTATTAATTTGTTTTTTTCTTTCGCTTAATGATAATCTAATAATTTAAGTTGTTTAATTTTTCATTTCTCTTTCTAATTCTCATATTCTCAAAATGATCATATCAAATGTTAAACTTTTTTTTTGTTTAGCGTGTTGTAGTATTGCGTAATAATATCTAAAATAAGTATTATTAATAATTTGATGTCCAGTATTAATGAATCTCATTGCTACTCTCTTTGCTTTTAATTTCTGAGTTTGAAATATATCTTGGATGGTGCGTGCAATGGTGCCCTCTGATGAACTCGCAGAGAAAGTTCGCATTCATGCAAAATTTTGCCTTGTGGTTCTTATAAGCAGGAATTTAAATAATTATAAGACTAACGAAAACATTCCATCCACAATCTTATCTGATACATTCAGAATCAGTAGGATTAATATGTGGTTTTCTCGAATGGTGTCTGTAACGTGCCGATCACGTGTAATAATTTTTGACACGTGTTCTCGAGAACACAAAAACAAAAGTCTGGATCGATACATCTCCAGTTTCTTTTTTTTTTTTTTTTTTGAAAATACGAGGTTATATTGAAGAAGTTGTAAACATTATTGTAGAGTCAGTTTTGTAGAATAGAATGTAAAAAAAATATTCTTTATCAAATATATATGTACATCATACTGTAAAATATTATCCACATGATAGTAGTGTGCATGTATAAATTATCAACATGTATAAATTTGAATTCATCAGTTATATCTTTGTTATTTACATAAAAAATAGAATTTCATTTATTTGATATTGATATTTTCTTCATATTCTTAATATTATTATTTATATTTTTTATATTTGTATTTCCTATTTCATATTATTTTTAATTTGTAAATTACATTCTATTTTTACTTAACTTAATAACTTTCATATATATTAACAAAGATATAAATGATGATATAGTATGATGTGTACAATATAAAAATGTACATATATTTTGTATATATACATATATTCCAATATTTGTCATGTTCAAGATACTGTTTACAGAATATATATTAACAGTAAGAAACTTTATATTGATAATGTAGAGACAAAAGTTCTTTTGATACTATTAAAAAAGTTGTATTTCTATTACATTCTAATTATAAGAACATTGTTCTCTAATTTGATCAAGATAGAATGAAAAGTAAAGTAAAAGATTTAAATCAATTATAATTTAATTTTGAGTCTTATTCCAAAAAAACTATTATTATTTAATATTTTTTGCAAAAATTAAAATTTCACTTTATGTTATGTACAAAAATTTGTTTACTTTGTTATTCATATTTTTTTGCCGTTCAACTTTTAATTTAGATGATTGGAGATGTATTACTATTATTTTCTTTATTTTGGGAAATATTTTATGTTATATATAATTTGAATACTGTTGTTATTAAAAGCACTTTGATTCATTACACCAAATAAATGTTTATTATCTGTGATAGAAAGTGTTTTGAAGCTGTTTATAATTAAAAAATTTTACAGGAGTCAACTGAAGAAATATTACTAAAATAAAGAAACCCCAATTCTTATTTTTTAATATATAAGGAGAAAAATTATAATATTAAATTGAAATCATTAATGAAAACAAAAAAAAAATAATTTTTCAAATATTAATTTTAATGGACAATACGTGCAATAAATTCTATATATAAAATCTGTATTTCAAGATATAAGTAAGCATAATTAAAAAATGAATACATGCAAAAATAATAAAAAATATTTAATTTACATGTTTAAATGAAAGATTTGATGTAAACTGTTGAAACATTCGAGTAAATTTTTAAATAATAGTATTTTTGAATCATTAAATTTTTCTTCAAAACATTTAAAACAGTTTAACTGAAAAGCTAAAATCTCTCAAATTCTTAAATCAAACTACTCAAATCAAATATATTGGATCGAATGTTTCAAAGTTTTGAATAAGTATAAACCACATACCGAATGTACACATATTTAAAAATGTCTGCGTAATGAATAATCTTCAAGTTATAATGTATGAATAATTGCGTGCATATATAAAACGACGAGTAGTACTCGTCGTATATCGATTTTCAAGCAAACAGTATTAGTCTCGTTATTGTTGCTTACTTATGAATATCGTAGTAAAACAAGTAGGAAACGTTATAGACACACGTGACGGGCACAATAAAAATTATGTAAACTTTTGTAAAAAAAAAAAAAAAAAAGATGAAGAAGAAGAAGAAAACCTTTGGAATGGTAGACACATTATTTTTATAGTCTCTGTAAATTATTAAACTCCTTTTGTTCAACATATTGTGGGACATAAGGAGCATTCATAAATCAATTCCTTGCAAATTATTTTTCTTCACTCCAATAATGATAGAATCAAAGCATATTTCGTATACTACACTTTGTTATGGAATAAAATGGAACACGAAAAATTTCCGAGGCTTCGTGAAAAATTAAAAGGTTATGCATGAAATAATTTCTCAATAATAATATTTTTGTAGGAAAAGATTCTGGAACAGAAATTTTTATATAAGAAGTATTTTTATTATATTTTTTTAAATCGATAAATTCATCAGATTTATCTTCTATCATCTATATCTTTAATTAAAAAAAATTATGCTTGATTGTGTACTTAATTATTATATATGTATATATTTTAATCATTAAATTTTGTATTGAATTTGAGGTTACGTTAAACTTATAATAAAATTTGTTAAAATCATATGGTGCGATTGCTCAGTAAAATATTAAAAAATTTCATTTTATGGATGTATAAAGTATGTAAATGAAATAAATTTCTTTCGAGAATCTATTTCCCAAGAAATTACAAAAACAAAATGTAAACTATAACGGACAGTAATAAATGTACGAATGTCGAAAAAAAAAAAATATTTGAAAGAGACTGAGTAACCGTGCATTATTTTTTATAGCATATTTGTTGAAAGAGGAAACGGTAATTTTTTATGAGAAAAAAAATTATTTCAATGGATTATATATCACTTTCTGGTACGATTATTCGTTCTGGTAATTGCTCAAAATTTTTAATCGACAAAATTAATTATTAAATGAACATTTTTCTATAATTTTTTAGTATTTGTTTGTAATATTTCGAACTATTTTTCATGCTGAAATTTATATGAATAGGGAACAAATAATTTTGTTTAACGTTTTAGTTACAATAGAAAAAAAAGAGAAAAATAAATGGTTGAGAATATGAACAATGTTGTTTTTTTGTTGTTCAGAAATTTAAATGATGATTATTTATTAAAAATGTAAGTAAAATTTAAGAGTGAAATATTTAAAATTTATCGAATTTTTAAAAAACTATCTGTTATCAACTGTCGATAATTAAATTCAATTCATTAAATAGCTTTTATGTTTAAAGAACAAACTATAGATAGCAGCACATGTTACTTTCGTTTTTCAAAATAAAAATAAATTTATATATATATATAATATATTCTGAATACAATATCTTAAATTTGACTTCCATGATTAAAAAATATGTATAAAAAGTTACAAACTATTTTAAAATTTGTTAAAATTTTGTAAATGCATTATATATATAAATATATTATAATTATAAATATATTATAAATATATTTATAATTTTATAATTTTTTTTATAAGTTATGTAAAAATAATAAAAAAATATATAAATTCGCATATATTTAAAAAGATAGATATAAAAAAATATATATAGAATTTAAAAATACCTTTATATTTGTAGTGTGATGTTGATGAATTGATCATATTAAATAAAATGACTATTTAGTTATATTTTACTTATAATAACATAAAAAATTATCCTTGAAAATATTTTCACTTTTAAATTTGAATTTTGTTACTAACAATTTGTTTAGTTCTTAATTTGTGTTTTATTTTTAATTATAAATACAATTAAAATATAATAATAAAACATGAAACATAAAAAACAAAAATGATTATTATTAGTATTAGTATTATTAGTATTATTAGTATTATTTTATCAAATAGTAAATGTTTGTTAGTGCCATTTATTGATATTGATTATTATATAAATTAAAAATTTAATATTTTGAATCTGAATATAATAATTATTAATTATTATTTAAAATTATAGGATAAATGAGAGACAAAGAAGAAATTTGAAAGAAAATCTCATTCAATCCAAGAGGTAATAAAAGAATCTTAAAATTTTTTTACAAAACAAAATAAAAGACAAAGGATATCAAGAAAATCACTGAAGAATTTTAAAGAGATCTAAATGTATGTATACATTTTTCAGTTGTAAATTAAGCTGTTTATTTTTAAAATGTTTTATTAACATGTTTATTGTAAATTTATTTGTTAAATATACTTATTTAATATATACATTTTTTAATAATAAAAAATTTTTTTATACTAATGTTTAGAATCTAAATTAACCAATGGCAGCATTATAATATTCACAAATTAACTATTTTTTGAAAATTAATACTTATTTTTTTTTAAATATTAACATACATATAATTTATATTTTTTATATTAACGATGAAAGTTTTTAAAAAATTTGAATTATGAAAGATATAAATAAATTTTTCAATGTATTATTTATTTTATTAAATTTTATAAATATTATAATATATATTATAAATTTATAAAGTATTATTGAATTGTTTTTCTAATAAAATGTGTTATATATTAAATGAATTTTTATAGAAAACATAAAAAGAAAACATTTTAAAATATAAAATACAAAACATCTTTTTAATATTACTTTTTCAAATGAATTGTATTTCAATGAAAACACTGTCTGAATCTAAATTGTCATGAATACGATATTCAATTAACTAAATATATATATATATATATATATCAAATGAGAAAAAATATCAGAAAATATTTTTAAATTTGTTTCTTATATCGCTACAACTATTTTTTATTCTAAAACACTTGCCATATTGCACACTTTTGTCACTCGAATTACATAACCTCACTAAATTAGTATTATAATAAAAAATATCGATATAACTAAATACAGTATCATATAGTATCGATCTATTCAATCGATTACTCGCAAATAAAGCACAAGTATTGACTTGTTCTCGATTGATCTCGAGAAAAATAAGTAACGAAACGATTTTTAGTGACTTCATTAAATTAACATTATAACAGAAAATATCATCGATATAACTAAATAGTATGTATAGTATCGATCTATTGAATCGATTACTCGCAAGTAAAGCACAAGTATGACTCGTTCTCGATTGATCTCGAGAAAAATAAGTAACGAAACAGTTTTTTAGTGAATTTTTCGCGAGAATGCTGTTGGTGTTATTTGTCAAGCGTGACCGAAGGAAAGAGCAGCGGTTTCGAATGAGAAAATTTATGGGTCGCAATGTGTCGACGGAAACCTTAAATTTTAACGTCCCTGTCGCGTACTCGGTTGCGTCCTGCCTTGCCTGTTAAGAACCTTGCGAAGGGGGATTACGAGTTGACTGCCACGAACATGGAACATCAAGGGGTGGTTCCACTCTCTCCACGGTGGGGGAGAATCAGAAGTATGGTGGTGGCTCTATGGTAGGGAGATGTGTAGACAGTGCCACAGGAAAAGGTGTAGGGAAGAGGGTAGGTTATGGGGTATAACGCGACGAAGAACATCCGAATAAAATAATAATAAACCACGGATACATTTCAGCGCACGTTGCTCCTTCTTCCTTCCTGATGCTTTGCTTGTGTCTCTTTCTACACTGAATATTTTTCTTTTTGTGTTGCTCGAAATAAATAAATCGGATTCGAGTCAAACGAGCATAATAAATAAAGGTTTGTTCAATTTTTTATTTATTTTTTAAATTATTTGTTATAAATAAATATTTATTTTTCATCTAGTAATTCGATATGTTCATTTTTCTCTCATTTCTTTTCTGTGTCAATCTTTTTCATATTGGCAGATGACATATGAATAGTTTATGCGAGATAGATCGTATTTAAAATGGTTATTTTTCTTTCAATATGAATAATGAAAAAAATATTTATTTATTTAACAGAGAAATATTTTCAGAATTTTTGAGTATGTAAAACAATAGATTTTACATATTTTTTCTTTTTATCGATTCTTATGTTTTTGCTAATGAAATCTTTTCTGTACAAAATGTTGTTATCTTTATTTATTCATAAAAAAATTTATCAAGTTAATTTGAAAATTTTATCCATTTTGATTGTTTAGTATACGCAAGACTACCAGTAGACTGATTATGCAAATGAATGCTACATTTTAAGGCTTGCATGTCATGGATCGATATAATTTTCTGTGATTTAAATCGTTACAAAAAAACATGGATTCTGAGTACTTGGATTAAGAAGATTAATTACAGTGCGAAATGATAATATACATCTTTAAACATAATATAAATGAAATCCATAATTAGAAAAGAATTAAAAACAAACTTATTAGTATAATTTATTTTTAGATATATTTAACTTATTACAATTTAATTGTGTAGAAAATACCGAGTAATTAATGATAAAACAAAGATAAAAGAAAATCTTAAGAAATATTCATAAATTCATAAAATCTTAAGAAATAAGAAGAATTTTTCCAGAAATTTATCCATTATTTTATCGATCAATTGAACCAAACAATTGATCTGGCTTGAAAGTTTCCAAGATTTCTGAATGGTTGAATTGTTGTGAGCCATAGCGATCATCCAATAGATTCGCAGATCATATATTTATCGTGACTGTAAGAAAAGCTCATCGAGATATTTCTTCTTAGAGACAAATCAATGGGGCTGTCGAGTCGGCGGTCGCTGTTTGATGTCAAGAAAGAGCTCGACCCGCTCAGATTCAGCTATCTCGATGTCGTCGCCGACAGCGGCATCCTACTGCGATAACGCCATTATGCGAATTCGAGATTTGCATATTTCAGAAAGTGCTGCACAGGAAAGCATAAACAACTCTGGTCGCTCTGCGCAACGAGAGCGTTGTGGCTTCCTCGTCAGAAGAGTTACACGCATGGAAGATTTACGGAGAATCCAACGGTTTTCCTTTTCCCTTCCTCCACCTTTTTTCCACTTTTTTCTCCCGTCCTTTTTTGCTATCTTTGTTATTCTTTTTTTCTCTTTGTTCTTCTTTTTTTTTTTTTCAGAAAACCTCTTCTTACTCTACTTTGTATTCAGACATAAATGCATGAAATGGAAATTGGTTGAATACCTCCGGATGATCATTTCGGAATGGAGGACGAAAGAACCGGTCCAACAATTTTACTAAACTGAAACTTGCGGTTTTCGGATTGAATCTTAACTAATCTTTGGACAATCATATTTCGACATGTTAATTCGGATGCATCTTGAAATAAGTAGAAGATTGTTCGTACATATGATTTTGTTATTATAAGATCTGATATTTCATTGAAATTTCAGTGAAATATGTGAAGCGGATTATTGAAGTGTGAAAAATGTTGTTTCTTTTTTCTTCTTATCTTTCACATATTTAGAATTAACTTGTCTAGGAATTTTATAATATAAATATTTAATTCAGATTAATACTTTAAGATTTTTAAATTCAATCATGAAACAATATGAATGTAAGATAAGAATACCATTTAAGGTGTGAATGAATATCAATTTAAGATAAGATATAACATTTTTCGGTTATAAATATTATATATTATTATATTATTATCTTGTTTTATCATGAAAATTTATGGATGTCTCACTTCTATTCACCAATGCTGGCAACACAGCAAAACAGTAAGCATGAGACCACCAACAGATAAGAGTTAGGTAGGGTAGATCGCGTTTTCCACGCATTTTAATGTGAATAGTCGCTTATCAGGACAGCATAAAGCGTTTCAATGCTAGTCTCACCGTAAGTGGTGGAACGCGCGAAAATCGCGCGTCACTTACATAAGTAATATAATTGATTCGTTACAAGCGCTCCTACACGGCAGATAAGTTTATCTGCAACACGCATCGACGAAACCGGTTAGATAACGAGCACTGCTACATCATATAATAAGCTTTAATTATTCGGATAATGAGGCTCGCTATCCTCTTCTAATGACAAATAGCACCGCTTCACCCATAAGCCACTGCAGCACACTATCATGAAATCTGCATGTCGGAACTTTCAAACGAAAAATGACACTGATTTTCGAGCTTTTATTAATCTACTAGTTTAATCTACTTTACTGTTATTATCCATTATATTATTTTAATATGTTTATTTTAATATATCTTAAATGTTATATCTTAAAGAAATATCCTACATGTATCTTTATAAAGTGATTGGAATTGAGAGAAAATATGAAACGACACAAATATAATTTAATCTTAAATTTCGATGTTTAAAAACAAATATCTCGAATGATATAGGATTCAATGATATATGATATAGGAAAACCAGTGATAGACCATAATTTTAAATTGTAAGTTTTATATCATTTTGTTTTATTCTGTTTCAGTTGTCAATTAATTCAATGAAGAACTGAACAACTTATTAAAATCATTTGAACAAAATCCGAGAAATAAATTGATCTTGGATCAAAGAACAAAATTCTCCAGGACATTACACATCTAATGTCTTAACGAGCAACCATTTTAATAAACTCGTCACACTGGTGCACGAGCCAAGAGTTAAGACGGGGGGAGGACCTTTCCAACTTGAATTTCAATTTTCACGCGATAAGTCCATAAAGCATCCGAAAAAGAAGGAACGCCGAGATCGGGTAAGGAATCGCTGGGAAAGATCTCATGGAACGAAAAACGCGTTTGCCGTCGAATTCCAGCGATCAAAGCGAAGAAAGAAAGGAAGCTGGATGATATACCGGTGGATCCACGTTCCACGCCGGATATTTACGTGTAGCCCGATGGCCGAACTGCTGTCGAACATCGGGTTTTACAGCGTCGAGCAACGGCGTATCGTGGACATCATCGAGAGCCAAGGATCCGGCGACTGGTTACACGCAAGTAGATGGATGAAGGTGGCTGGAACAAGGTGGCGGCTGATGGGTGTAAATTCGAGATACGATCTTCTCTCTTCTGTGTCCCTTTCCAAACGGATTTACCGACTGCTGCGCATTCTGCCTGCTTGGTTTTACTTGGTTTTTAATTATCCCCAGGGTCTCCGAGACAAAGGCGTCGCCGCCGTTGTTAGCCAGGTAAACGTTGCTTCATTCTATCTTCACCAGGAAAACAAGGAAAATCAGAAAAGTCTGACGAATCTTTTCGAACATGGATATGATGTATTAAGAAGTTGAAGAATTTTTGGAATGAATCGATTCAATATGTAAATGTGTTTCAGAATTATTTCAAAGAAATTTGAACGATGAAAAATCGAGATGGAAGATAACTGTTAAGGAGATGAGAATCAACAGTTGTGTTTTTAAGTTATAACTTGATACAAGTATTGAAAGTTTAGAAATATTGTAATTTATCGATTCGTCGGCGGCAACGATAATATAAGTTTAGTTGTTGGATTAGATACTACTTGCATCTAGTTTTAAACAATATTGTTTACGATTTGGATGAAATGATTCTCATAGACTTACGTTAGAGCGTTAATAAAAGATGTCTCCGGCTGGCCGCATTATCATTTTAATTGCTTCGTTTTGTGTTGAACCTTTTTGCCAGATCCTTATCTCCGCGTCGGGACAAATTAGCACCCCGACTGTGTGTTCGGTTGAAACCTGTTCGCTGGAATCTGCAAATTACCTTTTCTGCCGCCTCGATATAAAGGACGCCGGACATTCGGAATGGTGCGAGCGAGCCTTTTACGCCAGCGATCTTGCACGAGTGTTGCAAGTACAAATGAGCGAATTTACGTTTCGACTCTTGCTGTCGATGCATGTTAAGGAAGTAGCGATAGATTTTGCAACTTTGATAGTCTTGATCGTACACTATTAGATATTTATTGGTTTTATCGATAGGAAAGTTTCACAATCGAGACTCGAATCTTTTTAACGAAATAGAATTTTCTTGATAAAGAATTATGTACAAAAATATAGTGTTTAAAGTGTTTCTTTTCGTTTTTCTTTCTCGTAATCGAGCAACATCTAGACATAGATTGACTTTTTTTCACTGTTTTAGGTGTCGAAAAAGGAGACGAAAGTGACGAATGGCGAACGCAAATCTTTTGAGAACGGTGATGTTATTAGCTGAGAGAAAACATATGAAACATTGTTATTCCCACCATCAATATGCGATATTAGAATCAAATGACGCATTTTCCAAAAGGTATTCAGCTTCCAATATTTTTATTATAGCGAAGATATTGATATTAGAATTAGCAGAAAATATTTATAATGTCACATTTTATTTAGATTTCTGTAATTTCTGTAATTATTATGGCACTTATTATAAGAAAAAGTAATGAACAAGATTGATTAGTGATATTCTTGAAATATCCATTCCAAGACAGACTTTTAAGTTGTTGGAAAAACAGTTTTATTGCTATATTAAACAAAGAAGAAGAGACTTAGAATTTTTCTCTCCTTCTTTTTTTATCTTGTTCACTATGAATCTAGTTTACCAAGATTATATACCCAAGGATGGTTCTATGCAATACCAAAAGAATTCCATTCACCGAGAACTAGGAAAATCCTAGAGATAAGCTTATTGCGACAATTTTTGTCGTTTCCCATTCAGGCAGAGAACAAGTTTGAAGAGATTATCTATTAATTATAGGTCCCTGTAAAATCCTGTTTTTCGCGTGACCAAGTTTCCTTTTCCTTGAGTGATTCGTTCATCTCGATAAAAGATAATTGGGAAAAAGATACGTAGCCATAGTTGAGCATATTCGAGAAGATCCAAGAAACATCTAATATTCATTGAACGATAGTTAGAACTCGATGAATTCTAAGAAGTTTTCAACATGGACGAGCAGCAGAGACACTGATTCCCTGACGGTGGTTAATTACGACGTTCGCTCGTTAATTCACCGGAGTTGATTCGCGATAGCGACAAGCAAAGAAAAGTGGGAGACGACAAACAACTCCTACGAGGAATAACTTCTCATTTCCTACTTACTGTCAATTATTTGGTTAGAGAGCCAATTAACTCGGCTCTCTTCGCGAGCCGTAGCGAGCGACGACGATGCTCGATCAACGAATCGAAGAACGTCTCCTATTCTGCTTACGACTTAATTAATGCGAGCCTCGTCGTTTCATTGTTCTCGATATTTGCATGGAATCCCCGGCCCCTGTTACTAAATTATACGCCATATCTGTTTAACCATGCCGATGCATATTGTACGTGCAATATTCTATTGTTCGAGCCACTGCAGCATTAGATGCGTTTATTAAAATTTCGTCCGCTTGAGCTTTCACCTCCAAACTCGATTTGTGAAGTGTCCTTTAGTCTCCAATTTTTCCGATGCTCTTAACAATTTTAATCGAATATTGTATTCTTTTTTTTTCTTTTTTTTAGGTGCTGAAGATTACGAGAGTGAGATATATTATTTATCGGAATCGAATAATCATGTTTATTATTCTTGTAATTCCTGTAATTTCGAAATAGAAGAATTCGAAATTATACATAATTATCAGTACAATTCTATACTATATTTGTACTCCAATCATGAAAATAGTAAGTAAATATAGAGTTTGAATTAAAAACATAATTTATTAGTGCGAATACGTATCTCAAACAATTTAATTAAATCTTCTTGATTTTTTCATAGCAGAAAGTAACAAAAAAATATATTTAAATATCAAAAATTATTTTTAATTATAATATGAAAATGATTAGGAGTAATGCTAGCTTAGGTGAGTATCATTGCAAAGAACTTTCAATATTTCTAAAATTAATTTGTCATCATTTCTATAAACATATGAATTATCTCTAAACTTAAATCAATATTTTTTAGATTTCATTTTAATTCTCGTGCCATCAAGAAAAAACTGCTATCTGCTATTTTGTATAAAAAGCATGGTCTCTGAATGGCGAATTAATTTGTTCCCTTCACTGGGAAAGATGATAATTACAATTGTTCAAATGGATTAACGTCTTCAGGATACGATTCAAGTACTGTGTTGGTAAATTCAGTCGAAATATTTAATCGGTTCCTCAATACCAGACAACTCGCGTGCCCATGATAACGAAACGCGAGGAATCGGGGAAAGGAAAACCACTCGTTTAGCCGGCCGTTCCTCATCGTTCTTTCGTACGGTGTTGTTGTCAATCGTCGAAACGAATTTTCGACAGAGGACGCAAAGAGGACCGATGTCGGGCCCCCTGCTGGGGTATCGGTTACGCTTAAACCGCGTTTAGGGCTCTCGAATGCCGGCTTTTTGAGACAGCAACCCGATTGTTGTAGTGATGGATTGAAGAAGCAACGAATCATCATTGAGTTTTTTTTTTTGGTTTTTGGCCGTTAGTGGAATGTG